TTGGTCTTTCTCTTGAGAGCTGTGAGCAGAAAAACGTTGAGTTCCCACTTAGCTTTTTATAGTTTCTTCATCACTCTATTATCTCCTCTATCTGGTCAGTGGGACTTCTGCTATGTCCCTATATAGGAGACAGATCATGGCCCCCAAAGATAGGCGTCTCTAGACCCCCACGTCCTCATCCCCAGGATCTGTGAATACAGTGCCTTACACAGCTAAAAGGACTTTGCAACTTTGCAGGTGTGATTCAGTTAATGATTTTGAGTTGGGGAGCGTCTCCTGGGTGATCCAGGTGGGCACAATGTCCTTAAAAGGTCCTAATAAGTGAAAGAGGGATACAAAAAGGTCAAAGTCAAAGGAGATGGGAAAGTGGAAGCAGGCTTTACAATGATCAGGCCAAGGGCTGGGCACGTGGACTCACACCTGTAGTCCCAGCACTTGGGGAGGCCAAGAAAGGCGGATCGCCTGAGATCAGGAGTTCGAGACCAGCCTGACTAACATGGAGAAACCCCGTTTCTACTAAAAATACAAAATTAGCCTGGCTTGGTGGCGTGAGCCTATAATCCCAGCTACTCGGGAGCCTGAGGCAGGAGAATCGCTTGAACCCAGGAGGTGGAGGTTGCGGTGAGCTGATATCGCGCCATTGCACCCCAGCCTGGGCAACAAAAGCAAAATTCAGTCTCACAAAAAAAAAAAAAAAAGATCAGGCCAAGAGGCAAGGAAGATGGGCAGCTTCTGGTGGCAAGAAAAAGCAATAAAGACTCCTAGAACCCGCCCTGTCCCTAAAATTTATTTCAGACTTCTGACCTCCCAAACTGTAAGATGATAAATGTGTGGGGCGGGCGCGGTGGCTCACACCTGTAATCCTAGCACTTCAGGAGGCCGAGACAGGCAGATAACTGGAGGTCAGGAGTTCCAGACCAGCCTGGTCAACATGGTGAAACCCTGTCTCTACTAAAAACACAAAAATTAGCCAGGTGTGGTAGCGGGCGCCTGTAATCCCAGCTACTCGGGAAGCTGAGGCAGAAAATTGCTTGAACCCAGGAGGAGGAGGTTACAGTGAGCCGAGATTGTGCCACTGCACTCCAGCCTGGGTGACAGAGCAAGATGGTATCTCAAAAAAAAAAAAAAAGAAAGAAAAATTAGCTGGGCAGGGTAGTGTGTGCCTATAATCCCAGATACTCAGGAAATTGAGGCAGGAGAATTACTTGAACCCAGGAGGCGAAGGCTGCAGTGAGCCGAGATCAAGCCACTGTACTCTGCCCGGGTGACAGAGCGAGACTCTATCTCCAAATAAATAAATGTGTGGTTTGCAGCCACTGAGTTTGTGGTCCTTTGTCATAGCCTTGGGAAGCTCCTGCATTCTAATCCACGATGTCCAGATGGTGCTGTTCACTGTCTCCAACCTCAGTACACAATTAACACTACTGCACACAATTCTGGACCCTCAGCCATCAGCCAGGTAGAACCCACACTACAGGTATGAGCAGGCCCACCTGAGGGTGTGAGACGGCTTGAGCTCTTCCAAAATGATAGCACCTGCTGCAGGAACCTGGCCTAGTTCTATCAGAACACATCATCCATTTGTTAGTGCTGTTGAGAAAACTCAACGTGCCTGAAAGAGGGAATACATTTTTCTTTTTTTTTTTTCTTTTTCTTTTTCTTTCTCTTTTTGAGATGGAGTCTTGCTTTGGTGCCCAGCCTGCAGTTCTAGTGGTACGATCTTGGCTCTCTGCAACCTCCACCTCCTGGGTTCAAGCAATTCTTCTGCCTCAGCCTCCCCAGTAGCTGGAACTAGAGGTCCGCATCACCAAGCCCAGCTAATTTTTGTATTTTTAGTAGAGATGGGGTTTCACCCATGTTGGCCAGGCTGGTCTCAAACTCCTGACCTTAGGTGATCTGCCCGCCTGGACCTCCCAAAGTGCTGGGATTGCAGGCGTGAGCCACTGTGACTGACCAGGAATACGTTTTTCATGTACACGTGGTGAGGGGTATAGCCCAAGCACCTTGGATAGTGGTAGTTAAGTATCACAGAGGAGGCATCTAACTCTCCCTGCCGAAGAGATACCAACGGCTGTTGATTGAGGGCTCCAGTTCCCTAGTCAGCTTGAGAAAAATCAAAATTTCTTAAATTTGCTCAGGTTCATAACTGTCCAGCCGGGTGCAGTGGCTCACACCTGTAATCCCAGCACTTCGGGAGGCCGAGGAGGGCTGATCTCTTGCACCTGGGAGTTCAAGACCAGCCTGGGCAATATAGTGAGACCCTTTCACTACATAACATAAAAATGAATTAGCCAGGCATGGTGTGCACCTGTAGTCCCAGTTACTCAGGAGGCTGATGCAGGAGGATCTCTTGAGCCCAGAAGATCAAGGCTGCAGGGAGCCATGATTGCGCCACTGCACTCCAGCCTGGGTGACAGAACAAGACTGTATCTCAAAAAATAGTAATAATTGCTATTTTAAAACATGAGTAACAAACTATTCCAGGCATCTCAGAAAAAAAGCTCACAAGCCACTTAGAGCAAGGGTGTCTAATCTTTTGGCTTCCCTGGACCACACTGAAAGAATAATTGTCTTGGGCCACACATAAAATACACTAACACTGGCCAGGCACAGTGGCTTATGCCTGTAATCCCAGCACTTTGGGAGGCCGAGGCGGGCGGATCACCTGAGGTCAGGAGTTCGAGACCAGCCTGGCCTAACATGGTGAAACCCCGTCTCTACTAAAAATACAAAAATTAGCCGGGTGTGGTGGCGGGTGCCTGTAATTCCAGCTACTCAGGAGGCAGAGGCAGGACAATCATTTGAACCCAGGAGGCGGAGGTTACAGTGAGCCGAGATTGCACCACTGCACTCCAGCCTGGGCAACAAGAACAAAACTCCATCTCAATAAATAAATAAATAAACAAACTAACTAACTAACACTAACAATACCTGATGAGCTACAAAAAAAAAATTGCAAAAAAATCTTATAATGTTTTAAGAAAGTTTACGAATTTGTGTTGAGCCGTATTCCATCCTGGGCCACATGTGGCCTGTGGGTCAGGAGTCGGACAAGCTTGACTTGGGGAAACAAGAGGCCAATGCCCGCAAAAGCTATCACATAAAATAATGCAAGACAAGAAATAAGGCCTGCCAGGCTAGAGAATGAGTACTTCCTAGGCCCTCCTATGATTCAATGTCCGTCCCTCTTAGGTACCAACCCATGTGCAAATCAGGTGGCAGGAATAACTGCTAGAGTGCAAAGGGCCTCAGTTTCCCTGTTGCAAAATGATACATTCTCAGAGGGCATTAAGTCATTCAACAAACTTTTATTGATTCCAGCCCCACCCCACACCCCTGTCTGAGCCAGATCCTGCCTGAGTCACGCAGACATTGGTGGGCACAAAGTTCACTTAGACAAGGTCTCACCCTGGAGGGACTTCCCATCCAACGGGGGAGAGGCAGGCATAACGAGAAATGTCAGCCGGGCGTGGTAGCTCACGCCTATAATCCCAGCACTTTGAGAGGCGGAGCGAGGTGGATGGATCACGAGGTCAGGAGTTCAAGACCAGCCTGGCCAAGGTGGCGAAACCCTGTCTCTACTAAAAATACAAAAATTGGCCAGGTGCGGAGGCTCACGCCTATAATCCCAGCACTTTGGGAGGCCGAGATGGGCAGATCACGAGGTCAGGAGATTGAGACCAGCCTGTTGCCTGGCTAACACAGTAAAACCCCATCTCTACTAAAAATACAAAAATTTAGCCAGGCGTTGTGGCAGATGCCTGTAGTCCCAGCTACTCGAGAGGCTGAGGCAGGAGAATAGCATGAACCCGGGAAGCGGAGCTTGCAGTGAGCCGAGATCGCGCCACTGCACTCCAGCCTGGGTGACAGAGCAAGACTCTGTCTCAAAAAAATTTTAAAAATACAAAAATTAGCTGGGCATGGGGGCAAGCACCTGTAACCCCCACACCCATGATCCCAGCCACTTGGGAGGTCGAGGCAGGAGAATCCCTTGAACCAGGGGGACGGAGGTTGCAGTGAGCCAAGATCACGCCACTGCACCCAGCCTGGGTGACAGAGTGAGACTTCGTCTCAAAAAAAAAAGAGAAATGTCAATCATGCAGGGAATCGCCTCTTCCTGATGGTGTCAACGTTCAAATTAAGCCCACGATGCCCTGAGCAACTTCAGTACGCACCAGATTCCAGGTCCTGGCCATATCTCTGTGTTTTTTCCAGTACAGACCAATACAAATGTAGAGTCTTCAAGATGAAAATGAGTGTGTATGCGCCTAGGCACAGTGGCTCACGGACTGCAATCCTAGCACTTTGGGAGGCCAAGGCAGGCGGATCACTTGAAGCCAGAAGTTCGAGAGCAGCCTGGCCAACATGGTGAAACCCCATCTCTACTAAAAAGACAAAAATTAGCCAGTTGCAGTGGCACATGCCTGTAATCTCAGGTACTCAGGAGGCTGAGGTGGGAGAATCACTGGAACCCGGGAGGCCGAGGTTACAGTGAGCCGAGATCACACCACTACACTCCAGCCTGGGTGACAGAATGAGACTTTGTCTCAAAAAAAAGAAAAGGGCCAGGTGCGGTGGCTCACGCCTGCAATCCCAGCACTTTGGGAGGCCGAGGCGGGTGGATCACAAGCTCCGGAGATTGAGACATCCTGGCTAACACAGTGAAACTCTGTCTCTACCAAAAACACAAAAAATTAGCCGGGCGTGCTGGCATGCACCTGTGGTCCTAGCTACTCATGAGGCTGAGGCAGGAGAATCGCTTGAACCCGGGGGGCAGAGCTTGCAGTGAGCCAACATGGTGCCCCTGCACTCCAGCCTGGGCAACAGAACGAGACTACATCTCAAAAAAAAAAAAAAAAAGAACCAGTAAAAAGGAACCAGTGAGGACTACAAGTTTCGCCATCAACCACCCACCCTGAACAACAGTTCTGTCTCCCCTCCTGGCCACTGGGGTCCCCACTTCCCGGAACTCTGAGCTGAGTGATGTCATAGATGGATTACCTCACTAGGGCCAAGGAACCGGGAATTTCAGGGACATGGGGGAGGGAGAGGGATGTCTCTCTACCGCCCCAACCCCCCATGTCTGTGGTGAAGTCGATCGAATTAGTGCTGCCCAAGGATGCAATCTACCTGGCTGGCTCCAGCATAAAAGGGAAGATGATTTTAACCCTGAACAGCACCCTGGTGGACCCCATAGTGAAGGTGGAGCTCGTGGGAAGGGGTTACATTGAGTGGAGTGAAGAAGCCGGGGCATCCCGCGATTACAGCAGAAATGTTATTTGCAACAACAAGGCAGACTACGTGCATAAGACAAAGACATTCCCAGTGGAGGGTAAGGACGAGGCCAACAGCCACCCCTAGCCATGACAGGAACCTGGGTCTGGAAAATAAACACATCCAAGAGTCAATCAACAAACCTCCAGGGCTATCAGAAATAGGGAGTGGCCTGATTTCTCCCTAAGGGAAGTCATGTAGAACGATGACCATCAGATACACAAAACACGAAAATAACAAGACATAAGGAGCTGATCGGAACCCAGATATTCAAAATGAAGGTTCAAAGTAGTCTCTTTGGAAAATGCTCAGTCCAACAACTGCCTTTGAGAGGCCCCTGAGAAGTCTTATTCTTTTACAGATAAGTTTCACTCTGACAGCAAAACCCCAGGAGACAAAGTAGGCAGTCCTGTATTCATGGGGAAAGACAGTGGAGGTAAGCCAGGCACAGTGGCTCATGCCTGTAATTCCAGCACTTTGGGAGGCTGAGGCAGGTGGATCACTTGCGGTCAGGAGTTTGAGACTAGCCTGGCCAATACAGCGAAACCCCATCTCTGCCCCCCAAAAAACAAAAATCTAGCCAGGCGTGCTGGCACATGCCTGTAATCTCAGATACTTGGGAGGCTCAAGCAAGAGAATCACCTGAACTTGGGAGGAGGAGGTTCCAGTAAGCCGAGATTGCACCACTGCACGCCAGCCTGGGTTACAGAGCGAGATTCCCTCTCAAAAAAAGATAGTGGAGGTAGAAGAGCAAGGGAGACCTTCCAGGGAAGGAATAACTAGTCCCCAGTTCCACCAGGTCAGACCTGAAATCTGAACAAATGTCAGAGAGTCTGCTGAGCTATGGGGGGAATTATATGTCTTTTTCAAAATGTGTTTGTGGGGATATTCCCAGATATTATGCAGTCAAGCAGAACACGTGGCCAACACTTGGCTGAACAAAGTGTAATTTAATTTAATTTATTTATGTATTTATTTTTATTTTATTTATTTATTTATTTTTTTATTTTTTGAGACGGAGTCTCACTCTGTTGCCCAGGCTGGAGTGCAGTGGCCGGATCTCAGCTCACTGCAAGCTCCGCCTCCCGGGATCCTCCCGTCTTGGCCTCCCAAAGTGCTGGGATTACAGGCGTGAGCCACTGCGCCCGGCCTCCTGCTAGTTTTTTTGTATTTTTTAGTAGAGATGGGTTTTCACCGTGTTAGCCAGGATGTTCTCGATCTCCTGACCTCGTGATCCGCCCGCCTTGGCCTCCCAAAGTGCTGGGATTACAGGCTTGAACCACCGTGCCCGGCCTATTTATTTTTTGAGACAGAGTCTCACCCTGCTTCCCAGGCTGGAGTACAACAGCGTGATCTCGACTCACTGCAGCCTCCACCTCCCAGGTTCAAAGAATTCTCCTGCCTCAGCCTCCCACATAGCTGGGATTACTGGCACCCACCACCAGTCCAGCAATTTTTTGTATTTTTAGTAGAGACAGGGTTTCACCATGTTGGCCAGGCTGGTCTTGAACTCCTGATCTTGTGATCTGCCCGCCTCAGCCTCCCAAAGTGCTGGGATGACAGGCGTGAGCCGCCATGCTTGGCTTACGTATTTATTTTTTATTTATTTATTTTGAGACGGAGTCTCACTCTGCCGCCCAGGCTGAGTGCAGTGGCCGGATCTCAGCTCACTGCAGCTCCGCCTCCCGGTTCACGCCATTCTCCTGCCTCAGCCCCGAGTAGTGGACTACGGCGCCCCCCCCGCCCGGCTAGTTTTTGTATTTTTGTAGGACGGGTTTCCGTGTAGCCAGAGGCTCGATCTCCTGACCTCGTGATCCGCCCGTCTCGGCCTCCCAAAGTGCTGGGATTACAGGCTTGAGCCACCGCGCCCGGCACGTATTTATTTTTGAGACAGGGCCTCGCTGTGTTGCCCAGGCTAGAGGGCAGTGGTATGATCACAACTCACTGCAGCCTCAGCCTCTCTGGCATGAGTGATCCTCTCACCTCAGCCTCCAGAGTAGCCAGGCACCATGCCTGGCTAATTTTTGCTTATTTTTTTTTGAGACAGAGTTTTGCTCTTGTTGCCCATGCTGGAGTGCAATGCTGCGATCTCAGCTCACCACAACCTCCTGGGTTCGAACAACTGTCTCTTAAAAAAAAAGAACTAGCGCCGGGCGCGGTGGCTCACGCCTGTAATCCCAGCACTTTGGGAGGCTGAGGCGGGCAGATCACGAGGTCAGGAGATCAAGACCATCTTGGCTAACATGGTGAAACCCCGTCTCTACTAAAAATACAAAAACTAACTAGGCGTGGTGGCACACGCCTGTAGTCCCAGCTACTTGGGGCACTGAGGCAAGAGGACCACTTGAGCCCGAGAGGTCCAGGCTGAGTGACAAAGTGAGACCCCGTCTCAAAAAAAAAAAAAAGGCTGGGCCCAGTGACTCACGCCTGTAATCTCAGCACTTTGGGAGGCCAAGGCAGGTGGATCATTTGAGGTCAGGAGTTTGAGACCAGCCTGGCCAACATGGCGAAACCCCGTCTTTACTAAAAATACAAAAATTAGCCAGGCGTTCTGGTACATACCTGTAATCCCAGTTACTGAGGAGGCTGAGGCAGGAGAATTGCTTGAACCTAGGAGGCGGAGGTTGCAGTGAGCCAGGATCACGCCACTGCACTCCAGCCTGGGCGACAGACTGAGACTCTGTCCCAAAAAAACAAAAAAGAAAGAAACAGGGTCCCTGATATTTTTGGGATTGCCATGAGCTAGGGAAGATAGGCAATGCTAAGAGGATTTTTGAGAAGTGCAAGAAGGAAAATGAAATGAAGGTCATAGAAATGGCAGTTGTATGAGAGTCTGCTTCCTAGACCATCACTCAGTTGGTCAATCAACATGTATTAAGCACCTACTGTATACCATGCACTGAAGGTCAAGCTCTATGAGGGCAAAAGTTTTCTCTGCCTCACATACTACTTATTTATTTATGTTTAGAGACGGCATCTCACTCTGTCACCTGGGCTGGAGTACAGTGGCACGATCTCGGCTCATTGCAACCTCCGCCTCCCAGGTTCAAGCGATCTTCCCACCTCAGCCTCCCGAGTACCTGGAACTACAGGTGTGTGCCACCACACCCGGCTAATTTTTGTATTTTTAGTGGAGACGGGGTTTCGCCACGTTGGCCAGGTTGGTCTCGAACTCCTGACCTCAGGTGATCCACCCACCTTGGCCTCCCAAAGTGCTGGGATTACAGGCGTGAGCCACCGGGCCCAGCCGGTTCACGCCTATTATCCTAGCACCTTTGGGAGAGTGAGGCAGGAGGATTGCTTGTGGCCAGACATTCAAGACCAGCCTGGGAAATATAGCAAGACCCTGTCTCCACCAGAAATTTAAAAATTAGCCAGGCAAGGTGGCATGGGCCTGTAGTCCCAGCTGTTCCGGAGGCTGAGGTGGGAGGATCACTTGATCTCAGGAGTTGGAGGCTGCAGTGAGCAATGATCACACCACTGCACTGCAGCCTAAGCGACAGAGACAGACTTTGTCTCTACATAAAGAAAAAAAAAAAAAAGGTATATTTGTTGAACCCTGAAGGCCTAACTTCCACTTTCTCAGGCTCCAGGCAGGCGTATGCAAGGGTCCTTCAGTGGTTTCAGGTGACAACTCCAGGCACAGTCACGCACCCCAGGGCATCCCACTCCAGCCCAGCTGGGGCCTGATATTTACAGGCCCAGCAGGTCCTAAAAGTGTAGAGCTCAGTTTAACTCAGCAGGGACAGACAAGCCAAGTCCAGGACCCGCCTCCATGCCAAAACAATAAATCAAGCAAAAAAAGGCCGGGTGCAGTGGCTCACGCCTGTAACCCCAGCACTTTGGGAGGACGAGACGGGCGGATCGCCTGAGGCCAGGAGTTCAAGACCAGCCTGGACAACATGACAAAACCCCATCTCTACCAAAAATACAAAAATTAGCCGGATGTGGTGGTGCATGCCTGTAATCCCAGCTACTCGGGAGGCTGAGGCAGGAGAATCGCTCGAACCTGGGAGGCAGAGGTTGCTGTGAGCCGAGATCACACCACTATACTCCAGACTGAGGTCAGGAGTTCGAGACCAACCTGGCCAACGTGGCAAAACCCCGTCTCTACTAAAAATACAAAAATTAGCCGGGTGTGGTGGCACACACCTGTAGTTCCAGGTACTCAGGCCACAGAGTGAGACCCTGTCTCAAAATAAACAAACAAAAAAACAAAGCAGGCCGGGCGCGCTGGCTCAAGCCTGTAATCCCAGCACTTTGGGAGGCCGAGACGGGCGGATCACGAGGTCAGGAGATCGAGACCATCCTGGCTAACCCGGTGAAACCCTGTCTCTACTAAAAAATACAAAAAAAAAAAACTAGCTGGGCGAGGTGGCGGGCGCCTGTAGTCCCAGCTACTCGGGAGGCTGAGGCAGGAGAATGGCGTAAACCCGGGAGGCAGAGCTTGCAGTGAGCTGAGATCCGGCCACTGCATTCCAGCCTGGGCGACAGAGCGAGACTCCGTCTCAAAAAAAAAAAAAAAAAAAAAAGAAGAAAAACAATTCTAGAACCTTCTGATGGCATTGGTGTGTTTTGCTTTCAGATAATTGGTTAAGTGCAGGCAGCCACACCTTTGACTTCCATTTCAACTTACCTCCCAGGCTTCCTTCTACCTTCAGCAGCAAATTTGGCCATGTCTTCTATTTCGTACAAGCTTCCTGCATGGGCCGGGAACACATTTTAGCCAAGAAGAGGATGTACTTATTGGTTCAAGGAACTTCCGCCTTCCACAAAGAAACTCCATTGCAGGTACCGATGGGGGAAAGGCGGAGGTGGAAACATTCTCCAAGCTCCAAGGAGGAAGAGGGAAGGTGGGCGGGCAGGGGACAGAGAAGGTCCTAAGGGGAGAAGGGAAGGGTGTTGGCAGCTTCCCAGGCCCTGAGATTTCACAAAAGGTGAGTCAGAAACCTTAGGGCAGCCGGAGGTCAAGGCTGCAGTGAGCCATGTTTGCACCACTGCACTCCAACCTGGGCGACAGAGCGAGACTCTGTCTCTAAAATAAAATAATATATGTGTATATATTTTATTTATTTTTTGAGACAGAGTCTCGCTCTGTCGCCAGACTGAAGTGCAGAGGCATGATCTCGGCTCACTGCAACCTCCGCCTCCCAAGTTCAAACAATTCTCATGTCTCAGCCTCCTGAGTAGCTGGGATTACATACAGACTGGCGACACCACGCCCAGCTAATTTTTGTATTTTTGGTACAGACAGGGTTTCACCATGTTGGTAAGGCTGGTCTCGAACTCCCGACCTCAGGTGATCCACCTGCCTCAGCCTCCCAAAGTGTTGGGATTACAGGCATTAGCCACCATGTCAGGCCAACTTTTTTTTTTTTTTTTTTTTTTTTGAGACGGAGTCTTGCTCTGTCGCCCAGGCTGGAGTGCAGTGGCCGGATCTCAGCTCACTGCAAGCTCCGCTTCCGGTTCCGCCATTCTCCTGCTCAGCCCCGAGTAGCTGGACCACAGGCGCCGCCACCTCGCCCGGCTAATTTTTTGTGTTTTTAGTAGAGACGGGTTTCGCGTGTTAGCCAGGATGGTCTCGATCTCCTGACCTTGTGATCCGCCCGTCTCGGCCTCCCAAAGTGCTGGGATTACAGGCTTGAGCCACCGCGCCCGGCCAAGGCCAACTTTTTTTTTTTTTTTTTTTTTTTGAGACGGAGTCTCGCTGTATCTCCCAGGCTGGAGTGCAGTGGCCTGATCTTGGCTCACTGCAAGCTCCGCCTCCCGGGTTCACGCCATTCTCCCGCCTCAGCCTCCCAAGTAGCTGAGACTACAGGCGCCCGCCACCACGCCCGGCTAGTTTTTTTTTTTTTGTATTTTTAGTAGAGACGGGGTTTTACCATGTTAGCCAGGATAGTCTCGATCTCCTGACCTCGTGATCCACCCGCCTCGGCCTCCCAAAGTGCTGGGATTACAGGCTTGAGCCACCGCGCCCGGCCAAGGCCAACATTTTTTAAGAAAAGAAACAAGGGCAGGAACTAAGCCAGTGGTTTTTGTTTTTTTTTTTTTTTTGAGACGGAGTCTCGCTCTGTCCCCCTGGCTGGAGTGCAATGGCGCGATCTCGGCTCACTGCAAGCTCCGCCTCCTGGGTTCACGCCATTCTCCTGCCTCAGCCTCCTGAGTAGCTGGGACTACAGGCGCCCGCCACCGCGCCCGGCTAATTTTTTTGTATTTTTAGTAGAGACGGGGTTTCACCATGTTAGCCAGGATGGATAAGCCAGTGGTTTTCAACTGGGGCTGTTTTATCCCCATAAGGGACATTTGGCAATGTCTGGAGACATCTGTGGTTGTCTCAACTTGGGGGGTGCTCCTGGCATGGAATGGGTGGAGGCCAGGGATGCTGCTCAGCACCCTGCAGAGCCCAGGAGAGCCCCACCCAGGAGAATGGCCCAAATGTCCACTTGTCAAGGGGGAGACACGGCCCTAGGGAAAAGCCAAGAAGAGGCCCCACGGGGTGACCCTCAGTGTGGGAGAGAGGCCTGGACACTCAGTAGCCCTCCAGCACTGACCTTGGAGCTCTCAGACAATAGAGGTGGTGGCCTCAGTCCAGGAGAAGGAAGGGCCGTGCAGCCTCCGCTTGGCTGAGTGCAGGACTCGTTCTGGGTCCCTTCCCGAGTCCAGGTGCAGAGGCGGAGTTTGAGGTGGGAGGAGGGACGTTGGCCAAAGTCACTTCACCTCTCTAGGGAGTGATTTGCCATCAGAGCATTGGGACAAGATGACAAATGTCAGAGGGCTGGCATTTTTTTTTTCTTTTCCTTTTTTTTTTTTTTTTTTTTGAGACGGAGTCTTGCTCTGTCACCCAGGCTGGAGTGCAGTGGCATGATCTCGGCTCACTGCAACCTCCGCCTCCTGGGTTCAAGCAATTCTCACGCCTCAGCCTCCTGAGGAGGCTGGGATTACAGGCACCTGCCCCCAAGGCCGGCCAATTTTTTTTTCTATTTTTAGTAGAGACGGGGTTTCACTGTCTTGGCCAGGCTGGTCTTGAACCCCTGACCTTGTGATCCACCCTCCTCAGCCTCCCAAAGTACTGAGATTACAAGTGTGCGCCACTATGCCCGGCCAGCAGTTTCTTTTTCCTTTTCTTTTATTTTTTTTGTTTTTTTTGAGAGGGAGTCTTGCTCTGTCGCCCAGGCTGGAGTGCAGTGGCCGGATCTCAGCTCACTGTAAGCTCCGCCTCCCAAGTTTACGCCATTCTCCTGCCTCAACCTCCCGAGTAGCTGGGACTACAGGCGCCTGCCACCTCGCCCGGCTAGTTTTTTGTATTTTTTAGTAGAGACGGGGTTTCACCGTGTTAGCCAGGATGGTCTCCATCTCCTGACCTCATGATCTGCTTGTCTTGGCCTCCCAAAGTGCTGGGATTACAGGCTTGAGCCACCACGCCCGACCTTTTTTTTTTTTTTTTTTTTGAGACCGAGTCTTGCTCTGTCGCCCAGGCTGGAGTGCAGTGGCACAATCTCGGCTCACTGCAATCTCCGCCTCCCGGGTTCGTGCTATTGTCCTGCCTCAGCCTCCCAAGTAGCTGGGACTACAAGCGCCCGCCACCACACCTGGCTAATTTTTTTGTATTTTTAGTAGAGACAGGGATTCACAGTGTTAGGCAGGATGGCCTCGATCTCCTGACCTCGTGATCCGCCCGCCTTGGCCTCCCAAAGTGTTGCGATTACAGGCATGAGCTACCACGCCTGGTCCCATTGTTTTTCTTTTGATACAGAGTCTCACTCTGTCACCCAGGTGGGAGTGCAGTGGCACAATCTTGGCTCAATATAACCTCTGCCTCCCGGGTTCAAGTGATTCTCCTGCCTCAACCTCTGGAGCAGCTGGGATTAGAGGTGCCCACCACCACGTCCAGCTAATTTTTGTATTTTTTAGTAGAGATGGGGTTTCGACATGTTGGCCAGGCTGGTCTCAAACTGACTTCAGGCGATCCGCCTGCCTAGGCCTCCCAAAGTGCTGGGATCACAGGCGTGAGCCACTGCTCCTAGCCAGGACCTCTATTAAAAAAAAAAAAAAAAGGTAATAGCTCAGTTGGAAATAAAGGGACACTGGTAGCTCTTGGTACCTCCTGATACCTCTTTCAGGACCAGGACAGGACTACCAGCTTTGTCTTGAGTTAGGGCAGCAGGTTCTTTCACACCTGCAGGGTCCTAACGCATGCTACGAATTTTCGAATAAGACTGCCGGGATTTAGAATGAAACCAGATGCAATTAAACTTCAGGAGAGGAGGGGCAGCTCCAGCTGCTCCTGAGAAGGCGGAAGAGAAGCCAGAGGCAGAAAAGTGGGAGGTGAGGTCAGAGGGGGTCAAGGGTCTGCCTGAGTTCTCAAAAAGGCGACATACCTGACCTCCTGCAGTATGTTTTTCTTTCTTTTCTCTTCTTCTTCTTCTTCTTCTTTTTTTTTTTGTTTTGTTTGTTTTATTGAGATGGAGTCTCACTCTGTCGCCCAGGCTGGAGTGCAGTGGTGCAATTTCGGCTCACTGTAACCTCTGCCTCCTGGGTTGACGCCATTCTCCTGCCTAAGCCTCCCGAGTAGCTGGGACTACAGGTGCCCACCACCACACCCGGCTATTTTTCTTTTTGTATTTTTAGTAGAGACGAGGTTTCACCCTGTTAGTCAGGATGGTCTCGATCTCCTGACCTCGTGATCTGCCCGCCTCGGCCTCCCAAAGTGCTGGGATTACCCAGCCTTCTTCTTCTTTTTTTTTTTTTTTTTTTTTTTTGGAGACAGTATGTTGCCCAGGCTGGTCTCGAACTTCTGGGCTTGAGTGATCCTCCTCCCTTGGCCTCCCCAAAGTTCTGGGATTACAGGCATGAGCCACCACACCCGGCCAGCAATGTTTTCAAACCACAGGTCACAACCAAGTAGTGGGTTGCAAAAATCCATTTGGTGGAATACAAGCATTTTCTTTTCTTTTTCTTTTCTTTTCTTTTTCTTCTTCCTTTTTTTTTTTTTTTCTTTTTTTTTTGAGACAGAGTCTCCCTCTGTTGTTCAGGCTGGAGTGCAGGGCTGGATCTCAGCCTCACTGCAACCTCGGTCTCCCAGATTCAAGTGATTCTTCTGCCTTAGCCTCCCGAGTAGCTGGAATTACAGGAGCATGCCACCACACCTGGCCAATTTTTATATTTTTAGTAGAGATGGGGTTTCACCACATTGGCCAGGCTGGTCTCAAACTCCTGACCTCAGGTGATCCGCCTGCCTTGGCCTCCCAAAATGCTGGGATTACAGGTGTGAGCCACTATGCCTGGTCTTTTTTTATTTTTATTTTTTGAGACGGAGTCTCACTCTTTTGCCAGGCTGGAGCAATCCCGGCTCACTGCAACCTCCACTTCCCGGATTCCGGTGATTCTCCTGCCTCAGCCTCCTGAGTAACTGGGATTACAGGTGCCCGCCACCAAGCCTGGCCAATTTTTGTATTTTTAATAGAGATGGGGTTTCACCAAGTTGGACAGGATGGTCTCGATCTCTTGACCTTGTGATCCACCCGCCTCGGCTTCCCAAAGTGCTAGGAGCGCCTGGCCATATTTTTATAAAATGAAAGAATAGGCAAGAATATAAATAGGCAATATCAGAAAAAATCAATTTAGCAGGTTGCAACCATTTTTTTAAATAAGATAAAAGAACAGAACAGGCAATAAGTAGAATAAAAATATCAGAAATAACAATCTGCATGCAGGCCGGGCGCGGTGGCTCAAGCCTGTAATCCAGCACTTTGGGAGGCCGAGGCGGGTGGATCACGAAGTCAGGAGATCGAGACCATCCTGGCTAACACGGTGAAACCCCATCTCTAGTAAAAAATACAAAAAACTAGCTGGGCGTGGTGGCGGGCGCCTGTAGTCCCAGCTACTCGGAGGCTGAGGCAGGAGAATGGCGTAAACCCGGGAGGCGGAGCTTGCAGTGAGCGAGATCCGGCCACTGCACTCCAGCCTGGGGACAGAGCGAGATCCTCTCAAAAAAAAAAAAAAAAAAAAAAATTGATTTCACAACTTAAATCAGGCCCTTGGACCAGGGCACTGGGAGAGGCCTTGGGAGCAGGCTGGTCACGCCTCGCTATGAACCTGGGAGGCGGAGGCTGTAGCAAGCCAAGATTTTACCATTGCACTCCAGCCTGGGCAACAGAGCGAGATTCCATCTCAAATAAAATGAAATAAAATAAAAATAAAAGCAAAGAACAGACTATGTCAGAAAATATAAATTTTGTGAGTTTCAATGAACTTTGTTTATTAAATCCATGAATAGGGTGAGGCGCGGTGGCTCATGCCTGTAATCCCAGCACTTCGAGAGGCTGAAGCGGGAGGACTGTTTGAGCCCAGGAGTTTGAGACTAGCTGGACAACATAGTGAGACCTTATTTCCAAAAAAAAAAAAAAAAAAAGCTGGGGTGTGGTGGCACGCATGCCTGTGGTCCCAGCTACTAGGGATGCTGATGGCGGGGGATAACTTGAGCCCCGGAGGTCAAGGCTGCAGTGAGCCCTGAATGCACCACTGAACTTCAGGCTGCAAACAAAAACAAAAACAAAAAAAAGGCCGGGCGCAGTGGCTCACGCCTGTAATCCCAGCACTTTGGGAGGCCGAGGCAGGTGAATCACGAGGTCAGGAGATCGAGACCATCCTGGCTAACACAGTGAAACCCCACCTCTACTAAAAATGCAAAAATTAGCCGGGCGTGGTGGCGCACGCCAGTAATCCCAGCTACTCAGGAGGCTGAGGCAGGAGAATCACTTGAATCCAGGAAGCGGAGATTGCAGTGAGCCGAGATCACGCCATTGCACTCCCGCTTGGGCAACAAGAGCAAAACTCCATCTCAAAAAAAAGAAGAAGAAGAAAGAAAGAGGCCGGGTACGGTGGCTCACGCCTGTAATCCCAGCACTTTGGGAGGCCGAGGCAGGCGGATCACGAGGTCAGGAGATCAAGACCATCCTGGCTAACACTGTGAAACCCCGTCTCTACTAAAAATACAAAAAATTAGCCAGGCGTGGTGGCAGGCACCTGTAGTCCCAGCTACTCGGGAGGCTGAGGCAGGAGAATGGCGTGAACCTGGAAGGCGGAGGTTGCAGTGGCGAGATCGCCACTGCACTCCGCTGGGGACAGAGCGAGACTCGTCCAAAAAAAAAAAGAAAGAAAGAAAGAAATTGATATTCCGAATGGTAAATAGCCTTGATCCAAGGGCACTGGGAGAGGCTGGGTGCAGTGGCTCACGCCTGTAATCCCAGCACTTTGGGAGGCTGAGGCGGGCAGATCACCTCAGGTCGGGAGTTCATGACCAGCCTGGCCAACATGGCGAAACCCCACGTCTACTAAAAATACAAAAATTAGCTGGATGTGGCCGGGCGCGGTGGCTCACGCCTGTAATCCCAGCACTTTGGGAGGCCGAGGCGGGTGGATCATAAGATGTCAGGAGTTCGAGATCAGCCTGGCCAACATGGTGAAACCCCGTCTCTACAAAAAATACAAAAATTAGCCCAGCGGTAGTGGCATGTGTCTGTTATCCCAGCTACTCTGGAGGCTGAGGCATGAGGATTGCTTGAACCTGGGAAACGGAGGTTGTGGTGAGCGGGAATGGTGCCACTGCACTCCAACCTGGCGACAAAGCGAGACTCTGTCTAAAAAAAAAAAAAAAAAAAAAAAAATTAGCTGGATGTGGTGGCATGCGCTTGTAGTTCCAGGTACTCAGGAGGCGGAGGCAGGAGAATCACTTGAACTCGGGAGGCGGAGGTTGCAGTGAGCCGAGATCACACCACTGCACTCCAGCCTGGGCGACAGAGCAAGACTCTGTCTCCAAAAGAAAAAACCAAAAACCAAAAACCAAAACATGCTGGGAGATGGGAGATGACTCCAGGTTTTTCACTGCAAAATCCCTAGGGCTCCAGATTCCATCTTAATGCCTCTTCCTACGAGAGTCCCCAAAGCCCCACAGGCTTTTTATTTTTATTTTATTTTATTTATTTATTTATTTATTTTTTATTTTTTTTTTTTTGAGATGGAGTCTCGCTCTGTGGCCAGGCTGGAGGCATGGCAGTTCAGCTACTCAAGCTCCGCCCCCGCTACGCCTTTCCTGCTCAGCCTCCCGAGTCTGGCTCAGGCAGCCCCTTCCCGCTAGTTTTTTATTTTTTAGTAGAGCAGGGTTCACGTGTTGCCAGATCTCGTCTCTACTTGGATCCGCCCTCTCGGCCTCCAGGTGGATAAGGTTTGAGCACCGGGGCTTTTTTTTTTTTTAGATGGATCTTGCTCTTGCCTGGCTAATCATGCACTCTGTTACTGTCTCACCTCCCGGGTTCAGATTCTGGGATTACAGGCATGCACCATCACGCTCAGCTAGTTTTTGTATTTTTAGTAGAGACAGGGGTTTCACCATATTGGTCAGGCTGGTCTCGAACTCCTGACCTCATGATCCTCCCACCTCGGCCTCCCGAAGTGCTGGGATTATAGGCGTGAGCCACCGCGCCCGGCCAGCCCCAGAGGCTTTGAGGAGTTCCCAGGGTGGATCAGGCAGGCGAGTGGATTGTGCGGTCCTGGTCCCTCACGGTTGTCTGTTTCTGTTCCCCCACATCCTCCTCTTCTAGAACCCCTTGTTGGTGGAGGCTGAGGAGAAAGTCTCCTACAACTGCTGCCGCCAGGGCACCATCTGCCTGCAAATCCAAATGGAAAAAAACACCTTCACACCGGGAGAGAAGGTTGTCTTCACAACAGAGATCAACAACCAGACCAGCAAATGCATCAAGACGGTCATATTCGCCCTGTATGCTCACGTTCGGTACGAGGGCTTCACGCCCGGCGCGGAGAGGCGGTCTCGGCTGGACAGCAGCGAGCTTCTGCGGCAGGAGGCCAACACCCACATGACCCGCTTCAACACCACCAAGATCGTCAGCACCTTCAGCCTCCCAGTGCTGCTGTCCGTGAGCAGCAGCACACGGGACGGGGAGATCATGCACACTCGCTACGAGCTGGTCATCACCGTGCACCTGCCCTGGTCCCTGACCAGCCTCAAGGCCAAGGTTCCCATCATCATCACCAGCGCCTCGGTGGACTCTGCCGGCTGCCAGTCGTCAGAGGACGGAGTGTTACCCGTGAGCCCAGATCACCAGAATTAAGTGCCCAAACTTTTAAATATTAAAAGCTTTATTAGTCTCTACTGGGAGGAAGCTCTCTGTCTTGCACAGGTGACTCTCAGATGAGTCGAGGCGTAGGCAACACGTTGTCTGCAACCTCCCCGAGCTCTAGCGGTTTAGGTATCCGTGTCTCCCATCTGTAGAACTATCACTGAATGCCTGGAATGGACAAAGGAAACTGGGAAGGTCTCCCAGGACCCAAACCTGGCATAGCCCGCGTTTTCCACCCTGAGTCTGCCCCCGCCTACTGGGATCTCACAGTGCCAAGACCAGGGGTCCTACTTGGGGGAAATTCTCCCCTCTGCTAATGTCTGGCTGTATTGACCGTCACAACTGCAGGGGATCGGGGGAGAAGAGAGTCCTACTGGCATGGAGGGGGTGGAGGCCAGGGACGCTGTTCAGCACCCTGCAGTGTCCAGGGCGGCCCCCCACAATCAGGAATTGTTTACCCTGAATGTCAACAGTACCAAAGGGGCTGGGCATGGTGGCTCATTCCTGTAATCCCAGGACTTTAGGAGGCCATGGTAGGAGGATCGTTTGAGACCAGGAGTTTGAGACCAGCCTGGGCAACATTGTGAGACCCCCATCTCTACAAAAAAAAAAAAAAAAGAAAAATTGACTGGGCATGGTGGCTCACGCCTGTAATCCCAACACTTTGGGAGGCCGAGGTGGGTGGATCACGAGGTCAGGAGATCAAGACCATCCTGGCTAACACAGTGAAACCCCATCTCTACTAAAAATACAAAAAATTAGCCGGGTGTGGTGGCGGGCGCCTGTAGTCCCACCTATTCGGGAGGCTGAGGCAGAATGGCATGAACCCAGGACCGGGAGGCAGAGCTTGCAGTGAGCCAAGATCGCACCACTGCACTCCAGCCTGGGCGACAGAGCGAGACACGGTCTCAAAAAAAAAAAAAATACAAAAGGAAAATTAGCCGGGCGTGGTGGTGGGCACCTGTAGTCCCAGCTACTTGGGAGGCTGGGGAGGGAGAATGGCATGAACCAGGGAGGCGGAGCTTGCAGTGAGCCGCGATCATGCCACTGAACTCCAGCCTGGGTGACAGTGCAAGATTCTGCCTCCAAAAAAAAAAAAAAATTAGCTGGGCGTGATGGTGCTCACCTGTAATCCCAGCTGCTCAGGAGGCTGAGGTAGGAGAATCTCTTGAACCTGGGAGGCTGAGGTTGCAGTGAGCCGAGATCATGCCACTGCACTCCAGCCTGGGTGACAGTGCAAGAGTCAGTGTAAATATACATATATACATATATATGTGTGTGTATATATATGTATATGTGTTTATATGAATATATGTACATATGTGTATGTGTGTGTATATGTATATATGTGTATGTGTATATATGTGTGTATACATGTATACATGTGTGTATATATGTGTATATATGTATATGTGCATATGTGTATATATGTATATATGTGTATATATGTATATGTGTATATGTGTGTATATGTATATATGCGTGTATATGTATATATGTGTATATATGTGTGTGTATATATGTGTATATGTGTATATATGCATATATGACAGGATCATATACGTATATATGTATATGAAAAATTAGCTGGCTGTAGTAGCACACACCTGTAGTCCCAGCTATTCGGGAGGCTGAGGCAGGAGGATCACTTGAGCCCGGGAGGTCGAGGCTGCAGTGAGCCATGATCATGCCACTTCTCTCCAGCCTGGGTGACAGAGCAAGACCCTGTCTGGAAAAAAAAATTAAAAAGGCCGGGCGCGGTGGCTCAAGCCTGTAATCCCAGCACTTTGGGAGGCCGAGACGGGCGGATCACGAGGTCAGGAGATCGAGACCACCGGGTGAAACCCCGTCTCTACTAAAAATACAAAAAATTAGCCGGGCGCGGTGGGGCGCCTGTAGTCCCAGCTACCGGGAGGCTGAGGCAGGAGAATGGCGGAACCCGGGAGGCGGAGCTTGCAGTGAGCGAGATCGGCCACTGCACTCCAGCCTGGGCGACAGAGCGAGACTCCGTCTCAAAAAAAAAAAAAACAAACAAACAAAAAAAAACACCCACGATATCACAGTAAAAAGGAGGAGAAACTGTGTGCTGGTATAATTCACAGAGGTTGCTGTAGAGCCCCGGGGCTGCTCTGTGGGGCTGGATCCTGTGTCTCCTCTGCCTACAGCAGCTTAGGCTTCCTCCCCCACACTTGGGACCAATGCCAAAGTCTTCCTAGTGATGGGCCTGTGCCATCTGCCCACGTACAATCCATCCATAAGCCATAGGGCTTCTGTCTCCACACTTCCCAGAATCTCCCACTTCTCCCCTTCCCCTGCCTCTACCCTGCTCTGGTCCACCTTTTTTGGTTTTGTGTTGTTTTTGACATGGAGTCTCCCTCTGTCTCCCAGGCTGGAGTACAGTGGTTTGATCTTGGCTCACTGCAGCCTCCACCTCCTGGATTCAAGCGATGCTCCTGCCTCAGCCTCCTGGGACACCGTGCCCAACCTAAATTGGATTTTAGAGGAACAATAGAAATATTTAGTGTAAGTATATCCCATGCAATATTTAGAATATAGTTATGCTTAAAAATCATTCACTGATGGCCAGGCGCAGTGGCTTACATCTATAATACCGGCACTTTGGGAGGCTGAGGCAGGTAGATCACTTAAGGTCAGGAGGTTAAGACCTGCCTGACCAACATGGAGAAAACCCATCTATACAAAAACTACAAAAATTAGCCAGGCATGCTGACACACAGTAAAATTCAAAAGGCCTGGCTTCGCCTGCAAGGCCCTGCATGCCTGAAATGAAACAGTGGCTGAGGCTGGGTGTGGTGGCTCACGCCTATAATCCCAGCACTTTGGGAGGCCAAGGTGGGCAGATGTCTTAGGGTCAGGAGTTTGAGACCAGCCTGGCCAACATAGCGAGACCCTGCGTCTATTTTTAAATTTTTCTTTTTTTTTTTTTTTTTTGAGATGGAGTCTAGCTCTGCTGCCCAGGCTGGAATGCAGTGGTACAATCTTGGCTCACTGCAAGCTCCGCCTCCCGGGTTCACGCCATTCTCCTGCCTCAGCCTCCTGAGTAGCTGCGACTACAGGCGCCCGCCACCACGCCTGGCTAGTTTTTTGTATTTTAGTAGAGACAGGGTTTCACCGTGTTAGCCAGGATGGTCTCGATCTCCTGACCTCATGATCTGCCCGCCTCGGCCTCCCAAAGTGCTGGGATTACAGGCGTGAGCCACCTCGTCTGGCCAATTTTTCTTAATAATAGTAAAATTAAATTAAATTAAATTTTAAAAAGAGTGGTCCAGGGTTTGTCTTCTTGGGGAAATGGCCCTGAAATACTTCTCCAACCACCTTCCAACAGCAACATACTGGTACCTCCCTCCCTCTTGCTGCAGGGTGTCTGTCAACCCTGCAGCCACGACACATTTGCACTTAAATGGTGGCCCCTGCCACATTCCAGAAGATTCTGGAAGACCCAGCCTCTCCATAGGGTGGAACCAAGACATTTAGTTTATTTATTTATTTATTTATTTATTTAATTTATTTGAGACAGCGTCTCACTTTGTTGCCAGGCTGGAGTGTAGTGGTGCGATCTCGGCTCACTACAACCTCCGCCTCCTGGGTTCAAGCGATTCTCCTGCCTCAGCCTCCCTAATACCTGGAATTACAGATGCCTGTCACCACACCCGGCTAATTTTTGAATTTTTAGTAGAGCTGGGGTTTCACCGTGTTGGCCAGGATGGTCTCAAGCTCTTGACCTCCTCATCCACCTGCCTCGGCCTCCTGAAGTGCTGGGATTACAGGCATGAGCCACTGTGCCTGGCCCTTTTTTTTTTTTTTTTTTTTTTTTTTTGAGATGGAGTTTCCCTCTTATTGCCCAGGCTGGAGTGCAATGGCATGATCTTGGCTCACCACAACCTCTGCCTCCCAGGTTCAAGGAATTCTCCTGCTTTAGCCTCCTGAGTAGCTGGGATTACAGGCATGTGCCACCACGTACTGCAACCTCCGCCTCCTGGGTTCCAATGATTCTCCTGCCCTAGTCTTCTGAGTAACTGGGATTAGAGGTGGATGCCATCATGCCCGCCTAATTTTTGTATTTTCAGTAGAGATGGAGTTCCACCATGTTGGCCAGGCTGGTCTCAAACTTCTGACCTCAAGTGATCCGCCTGCCTTGGCCTCCCAAAGTGCTGGGATTGCAGGCATAAACCACTACGCCCCACGGGATTAATGTCTCCTTTTCTTTCTTTCTTTTTTTTTTTTTTTGAGATGGAGTCTCATTCTGTTACCCAGGTTGGAATGCAGTGGCTCAATCTTGGCTAACTGCAACCTCTGCCTCCCTGGTTCAAGCGATTCTCCTGCTCAGCCTCCTGAGTAGCTGGGATTACAGGCACCCGCCACCATGCCCAGCTAATTTTTGTATTTTTAATAGAGATGGGGTTTCACCATTTCACCATATTGGCCATGCTGGTCTCGAAATCCTGACCTCGTGATCCATCCGATTCTGCCTCCCAAAGTGCTGGGATAACAGGCATAAGTCACTGCACCCGGCATCTACTTCTTTTTAAAAGTTTCTCGTAGAGATGGGGTCTTTCGATGTTGCCCAGGCTGGTCTTGAACTCATGGGATCCAGCAATCCTCCTGCCTCGGCCTCCCAAAGTATTGTGATTGTAGGCAAGAGCCACTGCATTCAGTCAATTCATTTATATTTCTTCCTCTCAGCCAATGCTAGTGATCATGAGAGCCACAAATGTAATTTTATTTTATTATTTTTTTCTTCAAATAGAGACGGGGGTCTCGCTGTGTTGTCCAGGCTGGTCTTGAACTCCTGACCTCAAGTGATGCTCCCATCTTGGCCTCCCAAAGTGCTGGGATTACAAGTGTGAGCCACCACACCTGGCCACAAATGTAATTTTAAATTTCCTAGGCCGGGGCAGTGGTTCATGCCTGTAATCCCAGCACTTTAGGAGGCAGAGGCAGGCAAATTACCTGAGGTCGGAAGTTCAGGACAGCCTGGCCAACATGGCGAAACCCAGTCTCTACTAAAAATACAAAAATTAGCCAGGTGTGGTGGCGCATGTCTGTAATCCCAGCTACTCGGGAGGCTGAGGCATGAGAATCGCTTGAATCCAGCTTGTGCAACAGAGCAAGACTCTGTCTCAAAAAAAAAAAAAGTAAGTTTGTTGGTTGAATAGTAACAATAGTGATCTAGGTCACATTTATTGGGCCCTTGCTTTAAGCATGACACTGTCTTAAGCCCATTACCTGCATCATCTCATGTAGTCCAGACAGCAACCCCTGAGGAAGATACCACTACCCAGGAACTGAGGATCAGAGAGGTTCATTGATTTGCCTAAGGTCACACAGCAAACTCATTGCAGAGCCAGGACTTGAAACCAGTTCAACCAAATTGGTGATGTGAACCACTGTGGATGCTCACTGCTTGCCTAAACTCTGACAGTTAGGCTGATATGAACGACCCCAGGATGGGAAATGTGTGTATGTATGTAGGTATTTTTAAGATGGAGTCTCACTCTGTCAACCAGGGTGGAGTGCAGTTGTGTGATTTCGGCTCACTGCAACCTCCACCTCCCAGGTTCAAGCAATTCTCCTGACTCGGCCTCCCGAGTGGATGGGATTACAGGTACGTGCCACTACGGCTGGCTAATTTTTGTATTTTTAGTAGAGGCAACGTTTCACCATGTTGGCCTGGCTGGTCCTGAACTCCTGACCTCAAGTGCTCTGCCTGCCTCGGCCTCCCAAAGTGCTGGGCTTATAGGCATGAGCCACCATGCCCGTCGTGAGCCACTGCGCATAACTCTACATTAGGGGTGGATTCCTTCTCTGTGGCGGGGCCATCCTGGGCAGTGAAGGGTGCTGAGCAGCATCCCTGGCCTCCACCCACTCCATACCAGGAGCAACCCCCAGTTGTGACAACCACAAATGTCCCCAGACATCACCCGGTGTGCCCTGGCGGGCAGATTCACCCCTGGTTGAGAGCTACACTGTACAGTATACACTTGGAGGCCTCTGTGGAGTTAATAGATCTGATAGTAAATGCTATGCATGAGAATCCCAGTTCTGATGTTTATTTATTAATTATTATCATTATTTTTTGCTGTGAGATGGGGTCTCGCTCTGTCACCCAGAGTGAAGCGCAGTGGTCCTATCATAGCTCACTTAACCTCAAGCTCCTGGGCTCAATCTACCCACCTCAGCCTCCCAAAGTGCTGGGATTATAA